TTCTACAGTCTCAGATTGCCTCTAGTTTTGTCAATGGTTCCTGTGTCTTATTGGGTTTTGAATTAGAATAATAAAGTCTATTTTATTGTAAAATAATGTAGAAGTGAAATATATTTTGTACACTGTTGCTGTTTCATTGTTTGACGTCAGACCTACCTATGTACTTTTAATTGGAAGACCCTAGGCCACTTGATATTTTTAGAGATCTACCAGTTGGCTTTAAGGCTACGTCCTATACAAATTATAGAATAAATACATTGAATTGAATAAAACTTTTCTAATTGCAGCTTTTCCCAGGTTGAAATGAAAATGATAGTAACAAAGATACTATATAAAGAAGAAATTAAAAATACATTTGAAAAACAGATAAGGAAAAGGGAAGCATCTACAGATGCCATAAGAAGGAAAGGTATCATAAAAAGGTGTTTGAAACACTTATATCTTTTCTAATTTATCCAAAATTTTCATGAAGAAGCAGTTATTTCTTAAATTCAATCTTCTGCTGGACAACCAGCAGATCAGTTCTATTCTTTGTTGTCCCAAAGGGGAAATCTGGAGCACAGCAGCAGTCAGATAAGATTAAGGTATCATCCACACATTTCGACACAATTTCTACTCTGCTTAATAATCAACCATTTAAAGAACAACAACAAATCAATGCAGATGATGCAGAATTAATCCTCACTAAAACAGAGAGAACATCAGCTCAGTTCTAAAGTCCTTCCACTGGCTCCTCGTATCTCAGAGAATAAGATTTTAAAATACTTCTAGTCTATAAATCCCTGAATGACTGAGTTCCAAAATACATTACAGACTTGTTGATAGAGGATCAAAAGCCAGACATCTCAGGTCTACTGGATAAGATCTACTCTGCAGAACCATAACAAAAACCAAACACAGGGAAAAGGTTTTAGATCATGTGCTCCACTAATCTGGAATAAACTCCTGAATTACTGGAAAGGTCTTTAAACCCTCAGTTGCTTTTAATGCAGATTAAAAACTAAAATATTAATTACCTTTATTCCACTGCAATGTAGATTTTCTTTGCTTCTATGCAGCTCTTTGAAATTTGCATGCTACTGAAATGTTCAGTAAATAAACTTTTCTTGACAATATAACAGTTAAACTTTCTAAAATGTGGAAGTCTTGTCAAAGTTCAGAGCTTTAGTTTCTCTATGGACCAAATTCTGTTGTAGCCTATTGATTCAAGCTCATAGTTTTCCTCCTTCAAACTGAAGGAAGGAGAACAGATTCATCTAAATGAGGATCTCTGCTGGCTTGGAAGTTTTTTTTTTCTTTCTTTAGTCTTTCTGTCTACTTTCAGACAGGGTGCGCTGCTGTGCACCAGTTGTTTTGCTAGCAGAACCCCTCCCTTTGAGTCCAAAGTGAAAGCTCTCGTCTGTTGTCATGGTTACTGTCCCTCCCATTTACCCCTCCTACCTGCCCAGCCTCCACTTCTGGTAAAGTTCTGAATGCAGGTAAACTGGTTCTACTAGTTGTGCTTTTTTGCCTCCAGGATCTGAATGATTGTGGATTATTTTCCTTCTTGCTTGAAGTTCCAGTGATGTTTATCACTGAAACATTTCTGAGCATCGATCTGAGTTTGTTACATGTTATCATTTACAATAAATACTAACCTGTAATAAATGTTTCCTTTAAGTTCAAACTCTGTTCATTGAGGTACATTATTTTACCAAGAGTTTGTCTTTTAAGATTAATGAATAAAAACATAATAACTAGATTGACAGAATCCTAAGTAACAGAAAGTTGCTTCAATCCTATGAAAGATGGTAGAAACATTCATTGAATATCCTTTTAAGCTGAAGTCTGTAAGTTTTTAAAAATCTCTTTTTTGTCATATTGGCTAAAACTGTCCCTATGCCCAGAAAGCAGTACATGTGATATGTAACCTGTGAAAAAAACTGCTTCAATTGGTCCCGCCTACTGCCTGTATTGCAATCTGGAAAGAATATTTCGGGGCGAGACTAAACAACCAATCACAGCCAGAGGAGCGTCTGATGGAGTGTCAATCACAGCTCACACACGCTGAATCCCGCCCCCTCCCTCTCACTGCTGAACCTGCCGCTGCTGCCCGGCTCCCGCAGTCAGGAGGACGCACGTAGAAGTCATGGCGGAGCGACAGCCACCAGCGAAAGAGAAACTGCCCTTACTGCCCCCGCCGACAACTGCTTACACGGCAAAGACTTCAAAAAAGAAGAAGAAGCCGCGTACGCTGCTTGGACGCTTCTGGTCGCATGCGGTAGCCGCGCAGATGCTGTGAGAGGGATAGAGCTTGGCGGTGGGTGAAGCAGAGAGGGTGGGGGAGTGGCGTGAAACCTGTTTTTCTTCAAATTTTCAGTCGAAGTCTGCTCTCTTCTCAATGTTACAGACTGCAGCTTTAAGGAAGGACAATATGGCAGCATTGTTCACTAAACTTTGACCTCAATATTGCACTGAGATAAATCCATACCTGAAATAAAAGTGAACAGCCCAGAATATTACAGAATATCAGCTCTTAAAAAAGAAGTTAATTTTATAGGTATAGCCAGAAAACAGTGTTTCTGCTTTTTCTTCAGCATCACTTCAGTATTTCCTACGTTTCACAAGAAAAGTAAGATTCAGTATTGAAGGAAGATGACCTTGATGAAGCATACCATAAAATTCTGAATGTCTTAAAAAATTTTGACAAAAACTGACCAATGAAAACATTTGTTTCTATAAAGATAAGTCCCCTGTCAGAAAGGGATCAATAATTATAAAAGGAGAGGCTTCATGTTGAGTTATGCTCTTCCCAAAAGAGTCATAAATTATAGATCAGTGGAGGCAGAAAAAATATGAGATTAAATTAACTGTTCTTTTATGGATCGCTAACCAGAAAAACTATAGAAAAGTATTACATTGGATAAAATATTAAAAACATCTGGAATATAGTACATTGTAATCCGGGAAAAACCCCAGACTCATTAGTTTTCCTCAGTATTTTACAGAAAAGGATGATAACTTTGATGACTAAAATTTCAACATGTGGTCATCACTTGGAACCTAGTCAGGCAGAAATAATCCCAGATCCTCCAGCAGCTACAACACTGAATCAAAAAGTAATCAATAGAAATGTGTATTGAATGTTTCTCACAGCAGAGGAAGGAAGAGAAATTATATGGTTCCTAGATGTAAAAATAAAAGGTAATCTGATGTTTTTTTTGTTATTTTTACATTCTCTTATTCTATCTCCTCTGGACTGAAGCTACAGATTCAGATCTTTTCCAAACATGAGGTAAGGATGAGCTCCTCCCCTGAGTCCAAACAGGTTTGCAGGTCCTGCAGATGTTCAGGATCTGGATCTCCTCTGAGGACCACATAAGTTTTAACTGAAAGAACAAAACAATCCAGAGGAAACAAGACCCATTTGAAGATGATTAATGACATGTTAACATCTGATCAAACAGGAAGAGGCCTTACATGTATAACTAATTAATTTCAGAATATGTTTGGACAATCTAATAGCCATCAGTGTTGTTTATAACATGTTGGTCAGATTTAACTGATAGAGGAGTTCCTGATCCATCTCTGGTATCACTCTGAGTGGAGCTGGGGTCCAGAACTAGTGGATGTATTGAACAGCCCACAGGTGGAGATGAGGAAGTAATGGAGCTGCAGATGAATGGATCTGAGAATGAAAACATGGTGGGGCTGCAGGTGGTGGTGCTGAAGGACAGGGCTGTGTTGGTTGATTCCACACAGTGGGAGGGGAGCTGCTGGTTTAGGGAGATTTACTCCTCAGAACCAGAATAGATTGTAATTCACCCGAAACAAAGAAACATTCCATTAAAATGCTACTGTTTATTTTTGAGCATATCAGAGGTTTAAATGACTTAATAAAAAACATCTTAGAGTTCACACAAGGCTCTTTTAGAGAACTGTTTTCTTTTTTAACAATAGAGACTTTATTGGACTAAAATCCTGCCTGATTCAACAGTTTAAAGTGAAGATTTCAAGTTTTAATCACCATCTAACAAACATGAAGTTCATAATGAACAACGGGGTCTCAATGGTTACGAGTATGATGTATTACTGTAGTAAAACCCCAAAAGAATTGAAATAGAAATGCAGTTGAAAGAACCAATAAATTAGTTCCTTTATCACAGTTGATGTTGATATAGGCTACAAAGTGGCACAGTGGGTAGCAAACTACTTTAAAGCAAGAAGGTTCATGGTTCAATTCTCAGCCTGGGGTCTTTCTGCATGTTCTTCCTGATCATGCGTGGGTTCTCTTGTCCCACAATTTAAAAATGTAGGTGTGTGTTAATTGTATTTTGTCCTGTTTTTCTCCGTGTTGCCCTGCGATGGACTGGCGACCTGTCCAGGGTGTACTCTGCCTCTCATCCATTGACAGCTGGAGATAGTCACCAGTACCCCTCGCGACCCCACTTGGGATAAGCGGGTCGGACAATGGATGTTGAGATAAGCAGTATTTTGGATGACATGGAATGAACTTACCAAACTCCTATTGTAATACTGGAAGACATAAATAATAACATGAACAGGACTTCTCCCTAAAAAAGATCAGCAACCCGGCAGCACAAAATTTACCAGGAAAACTGATCAGTCTTTGTCTGAACAAGAATCAGACCAACCACCACCATGTTAACACAAACCACTAGGTTTATTGGCATTTACAGGCTCCATCCAGTTGACCTGGGATTTTTTATGTACCTGGAACATTACAGCAGAACAACATAAAAATGCCTCCAACATTCTGATGGCAAACCTTTGAACATCATCTTCAGAAACATGTTCCTCACCTCTGAACTTCTCTCTTCTCTTTAAAACAGTTTGAGAAACTTTTAGAGGGACAATTAGAGCACTATCTAAAGACAAAGGCAGACATTTCAAAACAACAAGCTTGTTCTTACAAACAGGTTTTTCTGGGTTTGCGTCATAGTTTATGAGCAACAGAAGAGATAAAATTAGAATAGAAAGAACAAACTGCTGCTGCCCCTCCTGTTTCTCGTCAGGCTCCGCCTCCATCACAGGTGAAGCTCTGACTCATCCCAGAAAGCAGCTTAGCATCAACATCACCTGTCAAGACTTTGGAGGTTTTTGAAGTTTGAAGAAACTGTAAGTTTATTTTTCTTCATAGTTAAACTTTAACTTTAATGTGTTTTAAAAACTTCTGATTTCAGCTCAAAGTCATCAGTTTTATGTTTAAACATTTTTAAATATTTTATTCACTTAAACCAAATAATTTTTACCTGTTAATCATACAAAACAGCTTTTTGGTGTTTATTTTATTCTTTCAAAGTAAATTAGGTGACATTTAATTTAACTCCCTTTTCAAAGGGGTAAAGTTTATTTCAGCTTTAACTGAAATGTGAAAATGATTACATTTTATAGTTTAATGGTATGAAAATGCAGCCTTTAACTGGATTATTTTTTTAGCTACAGCAAGAAACAGTCTGACTCATCTAGATATACATTCTGGAATTCTGCAGCTCCTTCAGTCAGACTTTCTAGTAAAACTGGGATCCATGTATTCCTCCAACTTCAACCTTTGCTTTATGTTTACAAACTGAGCTTTCAAACTGTTTGGTTTTCTTATCTAATATTAGGTGCAGCTGTAGGTGGGAATCAGTAAATGTAAATGTAGCTTCATCATGTGTTCTTGGCTGCAGCTGCAGGTGTGTGAGCTGATGTGAAGTGAGCAGCATGGATCAGTGTGAGGACAGAGAGGACAGAGTCCCTCCCTCTAAAACCCCCCTGTGTGGAGAACATGAGGACCAGAGCAAAGATCAGAGGTCAGATCACCATCTTTAACTCTCCAGGACTCTTCTCAATGTCAGAGCTCAGCATGAACATCACCAAACCATCCTTTTTTCACAGGAAACAAACTGAACCAGAGTATGGACCAGATCCCAGCTGTATGCCCTTCAAGAGCAACAGGTCAAAGGAGGATCCTATTGTTTTTAAATCAGACCAATCATCATCAGCAAACAGGTGAGCTGTTTCTAAATGTTCCATTAATTAGTTTAAACTAGCTTATTTCCCGTATATTAATGTGAACACAACTCTTTCTCACATGTCTGTTTACATGTGAAGCAGTGAGTGATGGAGGCTAAATAATGATTGTTTATTGTAATGATATGAAATGATCTTGTTAGATAATATTGGAGCTAAAATCAGTTGTTCTTCCATTGAGTTGAATCTTTCTGGATCATTTTGTGTCACATTAGTGAACCAGAGTTGGTGCTTCTGCAGAGCTTAAGGTGATGCACATGTAGGCAAGTCATGATGCTGATTCAACTATAAGATGGAAACTAAATCATCCAAACTAAATCTGATGGAAAACATGATCTCTCACTGTTATCAGAAATCATCAGTGAAATCATGTAGTGTGAAATTCAGACAGGATCGGGATGAGTCGGTTGTAAAGATGACACACAGATATACACACACACTGATTTTGCTAGAGTAAAATGTGTCGTTTTATTCCGCCACAGAAAACAGCAAAGCAAACACATCAACCAAAGCACGGTGTTAGCGTTGTTCCACTTACCGTGACACAAAGGATTGGAGAGCCAGTCGACCCTGTTTTCTGCAAACATCAGTGAAATCAGCAGCTTCTGAAGTTCATCTGTGTTCATTCAAAATTATCATCAGTCTGATTATTAGCAAACTGCTCCACAGTCTCCTTCAGGAACCACTACATGTCATCAGAAATACATGATCATTGACCTGCTGCTGGGAGGAAGTTTGATGATAAGAACAAGATGAATCTTTGATGAAAAATGTATTATGGATTTTTACATTAATGAAAGGTCCTTGAATGCACCATCATTGGCTTGTATTACCATAAAAACTGAACAGAAGCTTATAAATGATCAGCTGAGAATAAAGCAGCTGCTCTAAAGGGGTATAACCATTTGTTTAAGACTAGAACAAGTAAAACAAACAACTAGAAGATAAATTAACTTGATTATCCATCAGCAGTTCTGACTCTGATCCAAAGGAAGGTTTGTCAGGATAGAAGATCAGAACAGAACAAACGCTGTTCTACATCCAAACTGTCTGATTATTGTTCAATTCCCGCTAACAAACCCAAACATCATCCCTTATTACTTATCATCAGAGCTAATTATTAATCCATACTTATTATACAGCTTACGGTGAAACCAGGAATATCTGGATCCACTGCAAATTAGAGCCACTGTGGGACTCTAGAGTTCTGGGGTTCACTGTTTAACTTTAGACACATTATAAGTCTAAGATTTAATTCAGTCTTTTTCCTTCAGGATCCAACACAACCTTAAATCAGAACCAGAACCAAGCTGTATTTCCTTAAAGAGTGACATGTCAAAGGATTTTGTCCTTGAGTTTAAATTAGACCAACCTTCAGCTGCAAAGAGGTGAGCTGTGTCTAAATGTTTTAACTGTATGAAACTAAATAAAGTCAGTTGAAATGATTTTATTCAACATGTGTATTCCTTTTAATGGTACTGCTTTATTTTGCTTGATTTTTTTTCCACTAATTAAATCTCCAGCGAGTTCAGGGTAAACATTGTCTGAGGTGTTTCCAAGTATTTGTAGATCACCTGTTGGTCCAGCAGGGATCAGGTTGATTTCAGCTGAATCCAGAATTCAGATGAACAATTTTACAGAAATAAACAATGACAGACTAAGTTGTTCTCAGTTCAGACTCTAGTGGATTTTCTTGTTCCGAAATTTTACTTCTGATGTTCTTCTCACTCAGATTTAATTTGTTGTATAAGACTACGTAAAAACAGAAAAAGGAAAAGAGGAAACTAACCAAGATAAATGACTACAGAACATCCAGTTCTTTTATTTGATAAAATAAACTGAAATGTTTAAATGTGAGACTGTAAATAAATAGATATTTAAATACCAAAACTTTACCTTTTTAAGGTCTATTTTTTGTTTACAATGTATTTATTTTTGCTGGGATCTGAAAAGTCTCTACTTAAAATTATGATTTCCTTTCTATGAGATGAGAACAGTTTTTCATTTAAAGTAAGGAAAGGTTTTGTTGCAGCCACACAACATGGCTACAATCATATTGTAGTACTGTAGTACAGGTAGATCTTTTATTCTAATACCTCACACAGCACAGAATTAACACAGACACCTCGATGAAGGAAACCATTTATTAGTTAATTCAATGGCGCTGATAATGTTGATAGAGCAACAGAATGATAAAGAATTTCCAAAATAGCCCACTGGTGAGTTTTTCTGTTTTCTTAAGATTTGGGGGCTACCCTATCTGGTCCTTGAGGGCCTCTTGTTCCAATTTTAATTAAATTTCAATTCAGTTTATTTGTATAGCATCAATTCACAACACATGTCATCTCAAGGCACTTTACTGTTCACCAGATCATCCAGCAGACATGGGCAATGTGGAGTCAACAAGTCATCTCCATGTCATGTATTTGTTCTACCTAGCCACTGAAGCAGTTGAGTCCAATCTTCACCGTGAATTAACCTGTGCAGATTGGACTCACCTGGTTAATTGGCTGGGTAGATTAAATACATGACATGGAGATGACTTGTTGACTCCACATTGCCCATGTCTGTCATCCAGTCAAATTTATTCAAAGTTTTCAATCTAAGGAAAACCAGTTGATTGCATTGACTCATTGATTTGAAGGCAATTCCTCACAATAGGCATGCTTGTAGTGAAAGTGGAGAGGAAAAACTCTCTTTTAAGAGGAAGAAATCTCAAGCAGAACCAGGCTCAGTGTGAGCGGCCATCTGCCGAGGCCGACTGGGGTTTAAGGAGACAGAAGCAGAGATACAAAAAACAACTATAAAAGGCGGCCCCATCCAGGAAACACACAGCCAGGCAGACGAGCTCTGAGCCAGCTCCAATGTCAGAGGATGAAGAGAGCACATCCACTCAGTCACGGTCAGAGAAAAATACACTAAAAAAACAAGCCAATCTCCAATATCCATAAACAAAGATGTTGATGGCAGCAGCTGATATTTCTCTTCAGGAATGTGTCACAGCCAAACAGGAACAGACGAGGCAAAGCTACTATGAGAAAAAGCAGAGAGAGCATAGTGTTAGAACTTGAACTAACAAATTCTGCAGAGTGGGAGAATAAAGATAGAATGAAGCAAAATGATGAAATAGGGGTTCCTACACTCACCGGCCACTTTAGGTACACCTGTCCAACTGCTCGTTAACACTTAATTTCTAAGCAGCCAGTCACATGGCGGCAACTCAGTGCATTTAGGCATGTAGACATGGTCAAGACAACCTCCTGCAGTTCAAACCGAGCATCAGTATGGGGAAGAAAGTTGATTTCAGTGACTTTGAACGTGGCATGATTGTTGGTGCCAGAAGGGCTGGTCTGAGTATTTCAGAAACTGCTGATCTACTGGGATTTTCACGCACAACCATCTCTAGGGTTTACAGAGAATGGTCCGAAAAAGAAAAAACATCCAGTGAGCGGCAGTTCTGTGGGCGGAAATGCCTTGTTGATGCCAGAGGTCAGAGGAGAATGGCCAGACTGGTTGGAGCTGATAGAAGGGCAACAGTGACTCAAATAACCACCCGTTACAACCAAGGTGGGCAGAAGAGCATCTCTGAACGCACAGTACGTCGAACTTTGAGGCAGATGGGCTACAGCAGCAGAAGACCACACCGGGTGCCACTCCTTTCAGCTAAGAACAGGAAACTGAGGCTACAATTTGCACAAGCTCATCGAAATTGGACAATAGAAGATTGGAAAAATGTTGCCTGGTCTGATGAGTCTCGATTTCTGCTGCGACATTCGAATGGTAGGGTCAGAATTTGGCGTCTACAACACGAAAGCATGGATCCATCCTGCCTTGTATCAACGGTTCAGGCTGGTGGTGGTGGTGTCATGGTGTGGTAAATATTTTCTTGGCACTCTTTGGGCCCCTTAGTACCAATTGAGCATCGTTACAACGCCACAGCCTACCTGAGTATTGTTGCTGACCATGTCCATCCGATATACCGATATATATCAAATCAGTAGTTTTTAAAGTTCTGTTTATTCAAAATGATCATCAGTCTGATTTTTAGCAAACTGCTCCACAGTTACAAGATCATTGACCTGCTGCTGGGAGGAAGTTTAATAATAATAACAAGATGAATCTTTGATGGGAAATTTAGTATGGATTACTGCATTAATGAAAGGTCCTTGAATGCACCACCATGGCCTGTATTCCCATAAAATGCTGAATAGAGGCTCCAGATTAATGAACTGAAAATAAAGCTGCTGCTCTAAAGGGGTTTGATCATCAGTTGTAAGACTATAACAAATAAAATAAACAACTAGAAGATTAATGAACTTGTTTCTCCATCAGCAGTTCTAACCCTGATCCAAAGGAAAAAAGTTTGTCAGGATAGAAGATCAGAACATATCAAAGACTGTTCAACATCCAAACATTCTGATTACTGTTCAGGTCCTTCTTACAAATCTAAACACAATCCCTGATTCATTTTCATCAGGGCTAATTATTAATCCATCATTCACATACAGTTAACAGTGTAACCAGGAATATTTGGATCCACCTGATACTAGAGCCAGTGTGGGAAAATTTAGAGTTCTGGGCTTCACTGTTTAACATTAAATACATTATAAGACTAAGATTTAATTCAAGGTTTTTTCTTCAGGATCCAAAAGAACCACAAACCAGAACCAGAACCAAGCTGTGTTTCCTTAAAGAGCAACATGTCAAAGGATTTTGTCCTTGAGTTTAAATTAGACCAACCTACGGGGGTAAAGAGGTGAGCTCTGTCTAAATGTTTTAACTGTAGGAATACTCTGTTGAAATGTTTTTATTCAATATCTGTATTCCTTTTAATTTTACTGCTTGTTTTTGCTGGAAGTTTTTCCAATAATTCAATCTCCAACGAGTTCAGGGTAGACATTGTTGGAGGTGTTTCCAAGTGTCTGGAATTCACCTGTTTGTCCAACAGCGATCAGGTTGATTTTAGCTTAGACCAGAATTGAGGTGAACTGAGAAGTATTTAAATGGAGTTTTGGCTCTGTTCAAATTTATGGGCTGCATCCTCCAAGGACGCGGTCTACCTAGACTGGATCCTTCGAAGTCCGTGAAAATAAGGAGACCGGAAGGGTTTTGGCTGTGAATTCAAACAGGCCTACCCTTCGGCGGGTTTTACCGCCGTAGGCTATGTTGCTTAGCAACCGTGAGAGTTGACACACAAAGCAGGAATAGAATGAATACCAACATTTTTAAAACTGTTTATTTATTTATTTTTTATTATAAAGTGAACAAAGACTAAACTCACGAGAATCCAGAGTGGAATAAAGGTGCCAACCACCGGGAGCAGGAACAAATAAAATCAAATTTAATGATAGAAACCTTGCTGCTATTGTCAAATATCCATTACAGTAAAAATGTCCATAGCTGCATATTGGTTATTTATTCTCCAGTTTTATATTGTTAAAACACTTTAGAGTATTTTAGTGTTTATATTTTAACTCTGCCCTATTATGTTATTCTTATACATTTTTCTAAGGTCCTCATTTGTGTGACCGTTTTCAAAAATCTTTCTGCTGCTGTAAATTTCCCCATTGTGGGACAATAAAGAGATTCTATAAAAGGGATAGAAATATATAAGTAAATCTAAACAATGTATGTACAAAAATTATATCTGCAAAATCTCTAATATTCAACAACAAAAAATACTTAGTTAAGCATATTGTGAAATAAACAGCAATACAAATCCTATCAGATTTTTTAGTCCCCACCCTGCAGATATATTAGAATCTGTCCTTAAATTACAGCCAAACCCATTTACACAGTAATAGATAAAAACCTTTAGATAAACCAAACATTACCATCACATATCTGCCTCAATAACCATTAAAATAATATTTTTTCATTTCAGACGGAACTATTCTCAGACTTTTATTATACTTGTATTAATCTGAACTTCCAATATTCACCACTGTTCGGCGCCAAGTAACCTTTCCTCTGATCACGGAGCAAATCACGGCTTGGTTGGTCTCACAATGAATCCTGGGAAAACCAAGTATAGCGAGGATACACCGGACCGTCTTTCAAACCGGGCAAAAAGAAGGAAGCATTTTAAGGCCGCATAACGAGGAGTCTTGGAATCCGACCAGACCTCGGCGCCGCGCTATGACGTAATCGTCCTTCGAATCTGGTCTTCTAAGGACGCAACCCATGAATTCAAACAGGGCCATTGGCAGCCCGGTATGAATGAGGGGACTGTATCATTTAACTTTTTTCCATCTGTCCCACAAATTGAAACAATGTTAGAAGAAGATGCAGACAGAGGAGAAAGAAGAACAAAGACTTTTCTTTGTCTGGATGAACATCTTTAAAATGCCACAAGTAAAATTTATTAAATGGGACCTGTTGCCTAAGGTGACTGGGGGTGAACATAGTTAATTTCTATCTGCAGTGCAACTTTAGGTGCTACTGCTGCTGTTGATGAGATGTTTTGTCTGCTAAGCTAGGTTCTGGTGTTGTTCAGGCTATCTCCATCTGATTTAAGTTCTTATTTCTATGATTTCTCAAAGTTAACTCTCCAGAAGCATTTTAAAACACAGCTTTTACTGCTGCACTTTTCTACCGAGCACTTGTTGCATTCACATGGTTTTTATTTATAGTGGTAAGGGGTAGCTAGCCTAGGCTAGCTTAGTGTTTTCATCGCTTCTCTTTCTCTCTCTCTGTCTCTCTTTCCTAACTCTTTCTAAACCTTCCTCTCAACTCTCCTGCTCTCTGTGTTAGATTTTCAGTTATTTCTCTTCCTCCTTTAGTGATAACAGTATATCTAATTAGTGTAGCATTTTTTTATGCACAAACGACACAAATGTTCCCCCATGTCAGTTCCAAGGCTGCTTATGAATCAGATGACTTTTAAAGTTAAGCAGCAAAAGAGGCATATAATTCAAGCGAATGACCAAATCAAAAACTAACCCTTTGTTCTAATCATTTAAAACTTGAAGGTTCTGATTGGCTTCCATGTAGACACCCATTCTGATCTTTGGAGTAAAATTACCTCAACTACGAATGTGTGAAAAGCCAGAGTGATGTTTTCCTCTTTAATCTGAACCTCATCCATTGGGTCATAGACCTTGGAGGAAGAGGAGGCACCAAATTTGATGTGTGGATGAATATGCCATCCTGCCCTCTAACCCTTTGACGAAGGAGTGTTAGGATTAGGTACTGCTGAGCCCTTAACTCGATTAAAATCACCAAAAAAATTATGGCTATACAGATGTGGTGAAGGTCCATAATGGAAAGAAATACATCAACAGACATGTCTAAAGAACTAAAGAAAAAAAAATGTGTGGGGCAGGCTAAAACAATAGCTAAGCTAAGGATAAACTGTCAAGTATGGGTTTGACAAACTTTTTGTACCACTGGAGTTTTTTCCTGTAAAATTAGACAGTTAAGCACATGTTTGATTGACTTAATATGATTGAACACTTGGTATTTGTATATATATGTCATGTTCTGAACATTTTCCTTAGTTTCTATGTAAACAGAGATTTTGAATTTTTTATTATACAAGGTTTTGGAATTTTTTTGCATATAAATGTAGCCACAGTAAATAAATAGTAATGCCTAATGTTTAAGCCAAGCTTTTACTGATGGTGAAGGTATGAAGAAAAAACAAAAATATTTGAACTGTGGAATTACCTAAAATTTACTTTGTTGTACCACTTTTTCTTGGAAAATAATTAATTTTTGCTTGAATCTTAGACTGAAATCTTAAAATTTAAACTAGGAATTCATAGAGAACAAAACTATTTTTCATATAAGGTAAAGAAATGTCTTGTTGCAGCCAACTTTTTCCTGAAAACCAACATTATTTCTTCCTCTTAGCTCTCTGCAGATGTTAGACCATATTTATCACGAAACAAACACATCTACCTCCGGATGTAAACCTCTAACCTTCATATGAACTTTATTCTGTCTGATTAAGTTGACTTCATTTCATTCTCAGACAGTGTGCTGCTCTGGAATGTTTTCAGGAGCTAATCAGTTATTGGCTTAATTACTGTGTGTCCAGCTTCCTGCCAGTCATTGAAACAGAGCAGTGGCAGCCTTTGATCAGAGACTAGGATTAGATTTACTGGTCATTCAGTAGGGGTAGGCATAAGTATGTGTGTGTGTATGAATGGGTGAATAATTTAATGTAATGTTAAGCGCTTTAGTTAAGTCCTGACTTGACAAAGTGCTACATAAGTACACCCATTTACCATGTACCATGATAAAGGTTAAAGGTACACTATGCAACCGGTGTTGATTTTCCAGCGAGGCTCCCCCCAGAGGGCGAAAGTAAAAGTGCACTGTCGTAAATACGCACAGCTGTTCTCCTGGTTTCTCCGTCAAGCCGGGCGCTGTTGTTTTGAGCTTAGCAGACAGGCGAACGCAACGAATGACTAATGCTGCATTCACACCGCAGCTGGCGTGATAGAAGCAGCGAGTTTACATGTCAAGTCAATGGTTGACGCGCGTCAAGGCGCAGCAAAAGGTCCCGCGGCGCGTTTTGAGCAGCAGGCGCAGCGCGTCTGAGCAGCTGAAGCAGCGCGTCGTTTAATCATCTGACGCAGGGAGAGAGACACAGCGCTGAAGATCAGAGGCTATAATCACTCCTCTTAAACAGTTTATTGACGCCTAAATTAACTTAAAATGCAGAAATCTGCCGGCAGAATATGCAGTTTGGATTATTTAGATGAAAAACACCTACCAGCTGCTGCGGTGAACCGCGAGAATGCGACCCGGCCAGAGGCTGCTGATGAAGGGATTCCTTCTGTCGGCGCACCGCTGGTATGTGGGGGTCTGAGCGGCTCCGATAGAAAAAATATTGAAGGCAGGATAATAATCTGAATGAACTGACAGCACTGATAACATTTTCAGGTGTATTTTCTCACTTAAAAACATCTTAAAACTACTTTATTCCCACTGATCACAGCAAATATAGCTGCAAGGCAAATAAAAGGATAGAGTAGCTCCACCCAACGCGCATCAGACACACTTTTGCACCTCGCAGCCAGAGCAGCAAAGCTGCTTCAGCCGAGCGTCAGAACTAACTGGTACAAGCAGCAAAAATGAAGCAGCAGACGCGATTTTGCTGTGCCCGGTCTGAACGTAGCATAACTGCACAAAGATTGCCACTGTGCTAGCAACGAGAATGCTTTTAACTGGGGGGTGTAGCAGTTCTCGCCGTAAAGCAAGACTGACTCTCACGAGACTTCTGAGCCTGTGGGTGCGGGTCGGTGCTCCTGCAATTGCAAGTGCAGTATTTCCCCCACAGACCACCAGGGCGGCCGAGAATACCTTTGTTCAACCTGAAATGACTCATTTAATCATCCATAACGTTATGGAACACATTAATTAACTGAAAAATGTTGCATAGTGTGCCTTTAAAAAGGCGTTTCTGTAACAAACTACAACAGGAGCTGGAGCTGTGCAGCTTAATGAAACTCAAATTTTAGAAACATAAAAACAAAAAAAGGTGTTCGTTAATTTGTTTTTTTATTATATATGTATTAATTAAATTATTTTATGAAATGATTAGGCCCATCGAATTGAATTACATTATTTTAACTTCTGCTAAATGTCATTCTGAGAATTAGAAGCTCAAACTCTGAGGTAGGAGCTTCATCTCTTGTATCTGGTGCCCAAATTTATAAGTTTCAAAACAGAACAGCACAAGGACCTAGGTCTTGGTCTGTTTGTTGTTCTACAGAATGTGAGTTAATGCTTCCTGGTTCCTCCCCAGATTGGATCAGCAGAACTTAGAGGTTCCCAGTGGTCCATCTGCCCAGCAGCATCAAACCCAGCTGGACTCCATATTTATGGTCTGTACATGTACTACAACTACTTCTCCATGGGTTCAGTCATCTACATGCTGCACTTTGTAGACCAGAGAACTGTCGTTCTGTCCAACATGGATCTGGTGTTTGGCTCCATCGTCTTGATCTGATGCGTCTTTTTTTATATCATTCAATTCAGCTGCTGGAGGAAAACATTGTTCGTTTTGTGAAAAATGAGCTGAAGAAGATCCAGAAAGTTCTGAGTCCAGATGATCCAAAAGGTCAAAGGGAGGTTGAGGAGTTTTTGGATGATGAGGATGAAGAGCAGAGGAGGAGCAGCAAAGAGGCTTTGGTAAAGATCAGCCTGAACTTCCTAAGGAGGATGAAGCAGGAGGAGCTGGCTGATCATCTGCAGAGCAGTAAGAGGATTTCTAAAAAGATTAAACCAGATAGATAAAAGATACATTTATTCCAGTCAGAAAAGAAGAAAGAACAGATGACTATTATTAGGAAAAGCTATAGTACTAATGATATTATTTAACCTTTCAGAGCTGTTTGCCTCAATTTGTCAACATAAACTTAAAACCAGTCTGAGGAGGAGGTTCCAGTCTGTGTTTGAAGGGATCGCTAAAGCAGGAAGTCCAACCCTTCTGAACCAGATCTACACAGAGCTTTACATCACAGAGGGAGGGACTGGGGGGGTCAATGATCAACATGAGGTCAGACAGATTGAAACAGCATCCAGGAAAACACACAGACCAGAAACAACAATCAGACAAGAAGACATCTTTAAAGTCCCACCTGGAAGAGATCATCCAATCAGAACAGTGATGACAAAGGGAGTGGCTGGCATTGGGAAAACAGTCTTAACACAGAAGTTCACTCTGGACTGGGCTGAAGGCAAAGCCCACCAGAACATCCAGTTTATATTTCCATTCACCTTCAGAGAGCTGAATGTGCTGAAAGAGAAAAAGTTCAGCTTGGTGGAACTAGTTCATCACTTCTTCACTGAAACCAAAGAAATCTGCAGCTTTGATCACTTCCAGGTTCTGTTCATCTTTGATGGTCTGGATGAGAGTCGACTTCCTCTGGACTTCTACAATACGGAGATCCTGACTGATGTTACCGAGTCCACCTCAGTGGATGTTCTGCTGACAAACCTCTTCAGGGGGAAACTGCTTCCCTCTGCTCTCCTCTGGATAACCACACGACCTGCAGCAGCCAATCAGATCCCTCCTGAGTGTGTTGGCATGGTGACAGAGGTCAGAGGGTTCAATGACCCACAGAAGAAGGAGTACTTCAGGAAGAGATTCAGAGATGAGGAGCAGGCCAGCAGGATCATCTCCCACATCAATAGATCTAGAAGCATCCAGATAATGTGCCACGTTCCAGTCTTCTGCTGGATCACTGCTACGGTTCTGGAGGCTGTGTTGGAGACCAGAGAGGAAGGAGAGCTGCCCAGCACCCTGGCTGAGATGTACATCCACTTCCTGGTTGTTCAGACCAAAGTGAAAAAGGTCAAGTATGATGGAGGAACTGAGACAGATCCTCACTGGAGTCCAGAGAGCAGGAAGATGATTAAGTCTCTGGGAAAACTGGCTTTTAATCAGCTGCAGAAAGGAAACTTGATCTTCTATGAATCAGACCTGACAGAGTGTGGCATCGATATCAGAGCAGCCTCAGTTTACTCAGGAGTGTTCACACAGATCTTTAAAGAGGAGAGAGGGCTGTACCAGAACCAGAACAAGGTGTTCTGCTTTGTCCATCTGAGTGTCCAGGAGTTTCTGGCTGCTCTTCATGTCCATCTGAGCTTCATCAAGGATGGAGTCAATCTGATAAACAAACAAAAAAACAATTCAGTCAGGGCCAAATTATCTAAGACAGTGAAACTCAGAAGCCTCCATCAGAGTGCTGTGGACAAGGCCTTACAGAGTCCAAATGGACACCTGGACCTGTTCCTCCGCTTCCTCCTAGGTCTTTCTCTGCAGACTAATCAGAGGCTCCTACAAGGTCTGATAACAAAGACAGGAGGTAGCTCAATGAGCAATAAGAAGACAGTTCAGTATATCGAGGAGAAGATCAATAAGAATCTGTCTGCAGAGAAAAGCATCAACCTGTTCCACTGTCTGAATGAACTGAAGGATCGTTCTCTGCTCCAGAAGATCCAACAGGCTCTGAGATCAGGAAGTCTCTCCACAGATAAACTGTCTCCTGCTCATTGGTCAGCTCTGGCCTTCATCTTAGTGACATCAGGAGAAGATCTGGATGTGTTTGACCTGAAGAAATACTCTGCTTCAGAGGAGGCTCTTCTCAGGCTGCTGCCAGTGGTCAAAGCTTCAAACAAAGCTCTGTAAGTATTGACAGAATTTGTTTTTTTACACAAATTGCCACAATCATGAAAAAGTGACTAAAGTTTGACTACTGTATCCGTTTAAAAGAAATATCTTTTATAGAAATAAAAACGTGTCGAGTTGATTAACAGTCTAACATTTATCTAAAAGAACTGAATAAGATTTTTAATCTGTGCACAAAATAATTTCTCTTATCAAAGGGGAACATTATTGTTTAACTATTTGGTTTTTTATTGTTGTAAATCATGAATGATTTTATCGTTGCTAAATCTAACAAAACAAAAAACAAAAGCTTTAAAGTCATAAACTTTATTTCAGCTAAATATTACCTCTCAGATTATATCTGTAAATGTACCCATATCTACCTTCTCTCTGGTACCTCTCTGGTGTCACAAAGGCAGCAGGCCACCTGCCACACTTCTATTGCCATTTATGGGCAAATGGTTTGATTTTTGGTACATTCAACGGCTGTTCTATATTTACTTTTAAATACTGATTTGCTAAATTCCCATAATTTAATAAACATTGTTAAACAATTTAAAACCTCTTTAAGGTGTATGTTAAGTGGGGGTAATAACTCAGGATTCATTAAATTAAAATATTTTACCAACATAGACATGTTAGACATCATTGGAAAGCTTAGACTGTCCACAATTCAACCACAAAGATCATTTTATGGACATAGCGAGCACCAAAGCACAATTAAAACAGATACAGAAGCATGTCAAAATATCAACAAAGCAGCCACAACTACATCCCTTTGAAGGCATCCAGACGCCGTTTTAGAAATCCAATCTTCAATTTTTTATACTCCATTCATTAGTGATGTTATGAGATGAGCCGAGGCTTCGAGGCGTGTGTCGAGTAATGGAGGGGGCGTTTCCCCGAAGCGCGTGTCGAGGCGTGATTCATTTAGAGGAGGGGCCAAAATTGATGACGTCCGAGGCCTCGCTACCGTGATACCACGTGACCGCTTTGGTAAGCGGTTCGGGAAGCGCAAGAATTTTGACAGGCATCTAGACAGCTTCAGTGTTCAGTCAAGATGTGGGAGTTTGGAGGAGAGCTGCTCTCAGCTGGATAAAGTTTGGATCGATTCTAAGAATAAATTGGTTGTCTTTCCAACCAATCTAGTTGCTTAAAGCTAATTTGGTTTGAATAAACAATATAATGATCAAAATTTGAGCAAAACCACCAGACAAAGCCAGTGTTAATACGTCAGGGTTAAGAAGTATTTTCTCCCAGATCAGATTATCTGCGTCAGTGGCGTACTCTGTAAGAGGCAGACTCTCACCCTAGAGGTTGATGGTTCAAAACCAGTCTTTCTCTTTTGAAAGTTGCGATTAAACTTAATTATTTTGGCTGATGAGACTAATTTGCATTGTTTTGCCCGAGTAAAAATATAGATTGGGTAAATTAGGTTGGCTTAGCCAAAAGATTCGTTGAACATAACTTCCAACCTGATTAAAACCGAAAAACATGGAAAAACTATCATGTTTGAATAAAAATGACTAACACCATTCATTTTGTTCATCATGCCCAATTTGCACAAATACTTTCACTGTCTGCTTGAGTTTATTTCACTAAAATAGCAGAAAAACTGTGCACCTTAAATGATTGTTATAAGAAATTTTACACTTAAAAAAAAAATTTACAAAAGATTTTATTATACACACCAACCATTAACAATTTCAAGGGAACTGAAAAGGGAGAAAAAAAAGAAAAACAATTGCAAAAGAATTCACTGATTTTATTACAAACTGTAGTTCTGCTGTCCACCAGTATGTGGTGACATGTTCACATGAAGCCTCATGAACTGTGGGGATCATTGAAGCAATTTGGCCAAACGGTTCAATGCCTCATGAGGCTTCATCTCACCATCACTACCATTCATCCATTCATCAAAATAGCCCATAATGTCCAATTGTTCACATCAGAAAGGTTAGGTGGTTATAGCTTATTCTCAGCATCTTGCTAATTCCTCGGTTCATGGCCTGCAAGGTGTCTGCATATTTTTATGATCCAGTTTGCACGAAGACTTCCTGCTGAGAGGCAAAGACAAAAACAATGTTAAGACTCAGGTTGACAAAAACTCAGTTTGACTCAGCAAAACTCAGCTTGGGTAGAGTACCCAAAACTGGCAAACACCCTGGCGTTGAGGTAGTGGCAGTCAGCAGCTTGAGAAAACTCTGTTAACGAGGAAACCATCAGCAGGTGTGTGAGGAGGCGGACCAGAACCAGGCACCTGTCATGATGGGTTCACTGGTGTGACCCAATTATGCAGAACACCACTGAGACGGAAACTGGAGTAAAAGGTTTAACAGAGTTTATTGTAACAAGCACTGAGATAATGACTGGTTCTGGTTCAGGCCTGGGAAACTGGTTCACCGGAGTCTGCGTGAGAAACAGTTCAGTTAGCGTTGCGCATAGGAGTTTGATTCTTGACAGTTTCAGATTTGTACCTTGAGGGTTCTTGATTAAAGCCTTGAGAGGGAAACTGTTGGATCTGGAGAGGATTTGATCAGCAGAGTCCGTAAGCTTCTTCAGCGTCTTACTTCTTAAGAGTGAGCAGACCTTGGCTTTGAGTTTCCAGCTCTTGGTCCAGAGCTGCATGGAAGTTCAGGGAGAGGCTTCAGGTTTGGCTCAGAGGGCAGGCTCGGCAGGTTAAGTTTTTCCAGAGCTTCACAGGAGAAAAACTGGTTTCCTGGAAGACAGAGACAAAGTTAGAATCCAGTCTGGATTCAAAAGTCAACAAAGGTTCACAGAGATACTAGGCTGAGGTGCTAACCAACTGGATCAACACTGCGGCGTTGAGGCAAGGTCTGAAGACAGCTTAAATACTGTGGATCCTCTGATGATGGAATGGGCTGCAGCTGTGCAGGAGGCTCAGCTCAGGAGGATCCACGGCGGACTCTGCTGGAGGAAGGTGGTACTTCTCCAGCTCCCAACAGCGCCTCCTGGTAGAGGAAGGGAGACAAACACAGAAACACAAACACACAGGAGTCCTGACAATAATAATAATATATTGCACATGTAATTTGAGCTTACATTTCCTTAGTTATTTGCTTTTCCATTTGGGTATCCAAAATAGGCGAGGTGGATGTTATCAAAAAGTTATTAGGTAACTGTACGAGTGGTTTGACCTGTGACAAGAAAAACTAATGTGGTGATATGAAATTTAATTGCCTGAAAAAAAACACTAGCACACTTATGAAGTCAGTGGCGTTTGGGTGCCAATAAGATAACACAGTGCCAGAGGATGACAGGATGTTACCAAGATGCCCCACCAGTTGAAAAAGCCTACATTGGCAGCTGCTACTGTTTTCGCGGAAGCAACACTGATTATTGGTAAATGGGATCTCAGTATACAGCAAAGCCAAAAAGTATTTAGTCATCCACTGATCGTGCAAGTTCTACTACTTAGAATAATGAGAGGTCTTTCATTTTCATCATAGGTACACTTTATCTATTAGAGATTACAGTACAAAATCCAGGAAATCACATTGTAGGATTTCAAAATAATTTATTGGCAAATTATGGTGGAAAATAAGTATTTGGTCAATAACTATAGCTCAGCTCAATACTTTCTGACATAATTTTGTTTCAATAACAGAGGTCACATGTTTCCTGTATGTCTTCAGCAGCTTTGCACACACTGTAGCTGTTTTTTTGCCCATTCCTCCATGCAAGTCTCTTCTAGAGCACTGATGTTTCACGGCTGTCACTGGGCAACACAGACTTCCATCTCCCTCCACAAATTTTCTATGGGGTTGCAGTCAGTAGACTCGCTAGGCCACTTCAGGACCTTGAAATGCTTTAATAATAATAATAATAATACATTTTATTTGAAAGCGCCTTATCACAACACCCAAGGACACTGTACAGGCAGATAAAAACATTAAAAACAGGAAGCTAAAAAGTACAAGCATAAAGATGCCAAAGATGCCAGGAGTGGCTTTCTACAAAGCCACTCCTTCGTTGGCCAAGCGGTGTGTTTGGGATATTTGTCATGTTAGAAGATGTAGCCACATTTCATGTTCAAGGCTCTCACTTCTGGAAGAAGGTTTTGGCTTAAAAGTCGTGTGATACATCCATCATTCTTCCCTCAACACAGATCGGTTTTCCTGTCCTCTTTGCAATAAAATAACTACAAAACATGAAGTTTCCTCCCCCATGCTTCACAGTAGGTATGGTGTCCTCGGGATGTTACTCTGCATTCTTCTTCCTCCAAACACAACGATTTTTGATTTTAACCATGAAGTTCTATTTTGGTTTACTCTGACCCCATGATATTCTCCCGATCCTCTTCTGGATCATACATATTGTCTCTGGCAAAATTCAGGCGGGCCTCACCATGCACTGGCTTGAGCAGGGCGACATGTCTGACAATGCAGGATTTGAATCCCTCTATGTAGTGTGTGGTAGCTTTTGTTACTTTGCTCCCAGATCTCTCAAGGTCATTCATCAGGTCCCTCCATGTAGTTCTGGGATTTTTGCTCACCGTTCTCATATATTGACCCACAAGATGAGATCTTGCTTGGAGCCAAAGACAGAGAGAGATTATTAGTGGTCTTATGTTTTCCATTTTATTACACGGCTCCCACAGTTGATTTTGGTCACACCAAGCTGCTTGCCTAAAGTTGATTAACTCTACCCAGCCTGGTGCAGGTCTACAATTTTCCTGGTGTCCTTTGACAGTTCTTAGGTCGTGGGCATGGTTGAGTTTGGAGTGTGACTGTTTCAGGCTGTGGAACGGTGTCTTTTATTTATGTGACCCGCAAACGGGGGAACTTTTTAAACAAGATGCACCAGAAAACAGAATAGTCCAAAATATTTTCTTAAACATTTTCTTTAAAACATTTTTGTTCAAACATGGCTTCAGGCCTACTACTCGGACTCTGGAAAGAAAAGGGATAATAGGGCAATTTAAATTTCAAGAAAATTAAAACATGCAATGCAAATGGGAACAAATTATTAAATCAAAGTAAAATCACATTAGTTCTTTT